ATTGTCTCCCTGAAACCATCAATGCTTTGTGATAACTTGAAGCCGTGTTGAATTTTGAAACATGAGTCGAACCTTTTTGAGTGCGGTATTCTTCCCCATCTATCCCCCCAGATGCAGAATATTCTGTGAATATGTTACTGTGGGCTCTTGGAAATGTTCATTATTTTCTGACCTTTTCAAGGCCATAAGATAAATCAGGTAATCAGGAAAATCATTGGGGTATTAATCAGTTAAGAAAATAAATTACTATTAAATTAGTTGCATCCCTAAATCCTTCTATTTCTAGGGAAGCTTTTAATGAAAAATATAAACAGGAAGGGTTACGTTCCAATTACTTTCATGTTTTTTGATTGTTTAACAATTATACAAAAAAGACTACAGTACTACCAAAAACATGGAGTAGAAGCACTTGGATGTATTTTGTAAATGTGTTCTTGTTAAATAGAGAAGAGCAGTACCTTTTTCAGTATGACACGACTATGTTGTTGTACTGTTAACGTTAGTGCTGCCACAATGTACAAAATGCCAAAATTAAGATGTACTATGTTAGGTCATTGTTGTACTCACTTATTTTTTGCAATACTTAGCTGTATGTGTAGACATGAAGCTTCGAGGAGAAGCCAAGGTAAAATCAGATCTGCACAAGAAAAGAAACACCTAATATACATTTCATTTACATCTGTGTTGTCTATTAGTAACAGCCTTCTGTATTGTACCATGTTCATAGCAAGACCACTGTCATGAAAGTAGATTTAAAAAATCAGAACACTTGAATACCAAAGTGTTTGTGTTTTTCTTGTCATGCTCTTGAGGCAGCATTTAAGTTGTGAGGGTTGCTGGTCGGGGTGTGAGGTGTGCTGCCCTGACTCTTTCTATCTTTGCATTGCACAGGTTGTGAGAGCCGGGGCAGCCACCTCACCTCCCATAAAAACTCGGGACAGATGACCGTTGGCTTAGAGACAGAAAGAGGCAAATTGAGGCATTTGAAGAAAGGCACTTGGGTCAGGCTGAAGAACATCCATCGTCACGCCACCCCACAACCACTTCTGATCCAAACCAGACCAGCTACTGTCCAACAAAAATTGAGAGGAAATGTATGAATCTAAAATGTGAAATCTAAGTCCTGAAAGTCTGTTTTGAGCCAGTAATGTTTACTTAATGTTGGACTGTTAGCTTGTACACACTAACTTGGTAACTTGGTTAATGTTCTACAGGAAGTGTCTGTTTTCTTGTTTTTTTGTTGTTGGGGGGGAGTCTTTTAGACTGGGTTCGACTGCAAAAACATGGTTTAAAGCTGAGAAGCATCTTGGCCACTCACATGGCAGCAGTGTTTTTTGTGTTGATTTGTTTTTTTAGTCCTTTGTTTAGCCAGGAATGTCCTATTTTTGATAGAACTCTTCTTCCAAGGAGTCTTGTTCAGTTCCAGGAAGTCCTGGTTTGGTTGCTTCACTCTGTAGGAAATGAGTAAAAGACTGTTGGCTTGTCCATCATGTTGCTCACAGTGCTAGTCATTAAACTGCTGCACTCTATGTGACAGCTGATTTTTGCATCGTCTGACTTAGGACCCCGAATTAATTCTCTCTGTGCCTCTAGGTGCACACCTGCATATAACATAAAAATCTTGTAGAGCAACAAAATTTTTTGTTATTGGTACTAATTACAGTAGGATTTCAGTATGAATTTGCTTGACTGCAAGATGCACTTGAACCTAGGATTTCTCAGACATGAGTGTTGTGTTTTTAATTAAGTGGAGGACCAGCACTATTAAGCAGAGTCCATGTTGTGTAAAGAAAAAAAAGCCAACTCTTTCTGGTGTATAATGTGTAGCAGTAAAGTAATGCTACCATAAAGCATTTCTAGTGCGAAGTAGTGTAGTTGCAGTTGCTGGTAATAGCAAATACTTATTAGTCCAAATGTCTTTAGTGGCTTTAGGTCTTTAGAAGTCTTCCTCTGTCTCCGTATCTTAAAGTGACAGTTAAACTAACACGTCCTCAGAAAGAATCCAGCTTTGTCTCCATGTCCCAGGTGGCCCATAGTCAGTGCTGTCAAAACAACAGCTGCTTGCTGCTCTGTCAGGGCTCGCAAGTGAAAAAGTGTCACATTCTGCCCTCATATGTCACTCTGTTGCCTATCCAGCGCCTGATATGCATGCTTTTGGGAAGAGTCAAACCCACGGAATTTACTGCTTTTTGCCTCTCTGGGGTGTGTCCACAAACACCACTGCAGTGGGTTCGTCTTTAGAGATGAGATCTTGGTGCAGAATGACTTGCTGACTCATGACCAGTTCTTTCACATCATTCATAGTCAGTCTCAAAGACTGTGTGTCAGTTCTCCAGTGCATGGCTGTATCTATTTACTCAGATCTGAACAATAATTTGACGTGGTCTTGTAGAATCTGAATGCCAGGTAGATACTGTATGTAGTATGACAATGTGTACAGTATTTATTAAAGAGGCCAAGCATACATCTTTTTTATGCCTACATATGTGATTATATATCATAGGTTTGTGTTGTGAACAGAGTTGAACTCGGATTTGTGATGTAATCTTGTACCATGTTTTTTTTTATTTGCCAAACATTTGTTTACAGACACGCGTTTAAGGGAATATTTCTGAATGTGTACTGTCTTACTGTGTTACTGTATGAAGTAAGAATCTGAGTATTGCTGCTTTTGTGTGTGTGAAGTGTTTCAGCCTCTGGCCTATAGCTCTTGAAAATTAAGTGGAGCTTTAATAAACTCTTGACTTTTTCACCTTATTGCTGCAGTGATAAATGAGTGTCAGTCAGCTAATTAATTGTTGGAAAGGTGCGGCAGCGGTGGCCCGTTTGTGCGTGTAATGCCCTCTGTCATCTGTGATTTATCACCAGGGAAGTGGTGAGGGGGGGGGGGAATTCTGTCACTGGATCTGCTGGATTCTCTTGTGGCAGTCACTGACTAGGTTTGATCAGCACAGATTATTTGTATTGTAGCTACTGATTACCAGTATCTTTCGTTTTGCCGTTTTAATGTTGCAGTGACCAAATACTTCAAAGTTGACAGTAGATCTTGATTTTGTTTTATGAACTTGATTAGAGAATAAAAATTCTGGAAAGTAGATTTAGAGCATGAGCTACTAAAGCTGCCAAAACAAAAAAGCACTCTTTAGTAGTTCTACAAGAATTTTGTGTGTGTATGTGTGTGTGTGTGTGTATCAGATTAAAATCTAACAAAAATGATATGCGACGCTCACATATAGTCCCATGCAAACATTTAGGCACCTCTGAGAAACTGGCATATTTTGTTAATTTCAGAAGTGAAGACAAGTAAATACAACTGCAGCGAATAGACATTGCTGTGTCCTGCTAAAATTTGGGCACCCAAATTAGTCAGTTCTTACTACACCCCCCAGCACAGCTTGCAAGCGCTTTTTGTAGCCATCTTAGAGTCTTTCTGTTATTGATTTAGGCACGTACGTGATTTACACACGTCTTTGCAGACATACTGTATGTACCAATACAGTACAGTTCGTATATGTCCTGGCTGGGCCCAAATGTTAAAGGAGGTTGGTAATGATATCAGAATGACACATTTCATGTCCTTGGAAATTTTACAAATATTCTTAGCAGCGGATCTGGCTATTTTAATTACTTGTAATTTTCTGGAACTTTTAGATACATCTTATGTCCTTCATCGGGGAATGTGGTTCAGTTCTAATGTATATTTTTCATCATAACTGAACAATCCTTGAACACTGATGAAGGTCAGAAGATGTGACTGGTGTGTAAAGTATGATGGGCAAATTGCCAGTGGTTCTTGAGATATTTTGCTGTGTGACTTTTTGATGGACAGTCCAGTCAGTACTGTGGTAGAAAGCCAAGATCAGATTTGGCAGCATACTGTGACAATCGTCTACAGGTGGATGGGCAGCCTTTGTTCTTTAAACTGAGATACATTTTGGTTTTTAACATTGTGACTTCTCTATGAGATGGAACCAGCATACCGTTGTGAATTTTAGCCGCCCCAGTCCCTCAGCCTCAACCCCAGAGTCTTTGGGGACCAAACAGCAGTCGGCTAACCAGAGATCAGCTCAGACACATCTGGTTTCTGTTTAGGCGATGAGAATGAGGCCAGGAGGTGCACAAAGATGAGTGGCCATGGGATAAAGAGAGAGAAAAGCTCAAAAGGAGGTTCTGGAAAGCAGTAACCTTTCCGATGATGAGTGCGTTTCCCATTACAGCTTTGACACAGGATCTGGGCAGATGATTTAATGGCGGCATTTTGTTTTTGCTGACTTCACCCTTTTCCCCCTATTAAAACAGAAAACACAAGAGCTGAGACTGGAGCTGTGTGGGAAGTGTGGCCAAGCAGGTAAAATCTATTACTCCCCAGCTTCTTCCCCCATCTCTTTATCCCACTGATTCCACCACAGTGTGAGCTCACTCAAATGCTTCCTCAGCTGCACTCTCTTCATTCTCCCCCTCATTAACTGGTTTTTTGCTATATTCTCTTTTAACTCCACTGGGTTGCATCCCACCACATTTTCTAATCATTACATACAGAACAGGAAACACAAAACCCTATGAGTGCCTTACACTCAGTTGGCAGTTTATTAGGTACACCTATTCTATTGCATTAAACTAGCAGTGGTGTAAAGCTAAATAATAGAAACACATCTGTTCAACAGCAGTTTACTGTAAGCTGTTTGTATCTCTAGTGAAATTTCTGTGAGGTACCATTAGAATAGACTGAGTTTCTGGCCAGGGCTGGACTTGAGTCTGTCCCGCAGAGATGAAGGCACAGACCTGCTGCTCAAATCAGATTTCTGTAGTGCTGTACCCAGTTCACTGGGGCCCCCTGCTGGGCAGCATGAGAAGCTTCGGTCAAATGGAAAGCACTAGGTGAGAGCTGTCGAGCTCACTCCCCTTCCCTTCTCTTCGATCCCAGTTGAGAATGAGTCATGTCTAGATGAGTTAATAAAGGCAGTCTCTCTGTCTTGGCTTTCTCCATAGGTGCAACTTCAGCAGTACATTCATTACTTCCCCCTCTTGTAAAACAATACCTCTTTTATAATGTTGCAGTGACCCAACAATAAATCAAAAACTAAGGGGCTCACAAAGTCCAATAATCCACTCCTTTCTATGGAAAGACACCAGTGCACTTTGTCATGGATGAGAGTCGATGGCTGAGTGGTTTGTGTCATATTGATTTTTGTCACGTGGCTACTCCCAAGGTAATTGCATTAGTCACTGGTGATAAATTCACTGCCTTGTTTCAGTTGCTTGGGCTCAGATGCCAAGGCTGCAGGAGAGGAAAGGAGTTCTTGAAGCCACAAACCTGTGACTGTGTGTACAAGGCTGTAGAGAAGCAAAAAGCATCAGTACCCCTGCAAGCTCCATTTCTAATCATTGTTTAATTCCTCCCAATTAGATTTTCGTCATTGTTTTTATAATCTACTTTCGTTTTGCTAAAGAAAAAAAGTTGACATGAAAATCAGAACCTTTCTAAATATTCCTTCCTATGGGAGTTCAGCGGCCGAGATGCTAATCAGAACAGGAAAGAAAAAATGATTACGCCCCAAAGGAAATAAACACCATATATATTACTGTATACATCATTTAACACTTGAAGCAAGACTGTGACTTTTCCCATCCATCTATTATCTATACCGCTTATCCTGAAGAGGGTCATTGGGGTGGCTGGAGCCAATCCCAGCTGACACCCTGGACAGGTTGCCAGTCTAGAGACAGACAACCACACACACATACACACTCACTCATACGGGCAATTTAGAGTCGCCAGTCAACCTAAGCTGCATGTCTTTGGACTGTGGGAGGAAGCTGGAGCAACCGGAGAGAACCTACGCAGGGAGAACATGTAAACTCCGCACAGTTGACCTGACTGTGAATAAAGTTTTTCTCACATATGAAAAGTTGATTTCTAAAAAAATCTACTCAGGGGCTTAGTGTCACAGTACCAGTGGTTTATGTTGACTAATGTTAGCTAATTTAATAGCCATATTGCTGTATAGCAGACACCATGTGATCAGTTTGCTGACTTGCAGTTTAGCTTTTAACATATCACATCATTTTGTATGTGGCAACAGTGACAGTGTTAGGCCAGGAGTATACTTGAAATGGTTTTAGCAACTACAGTAGCTCATCTGTTGTCAAGATCATCTATTGACTGACATGTTGCTGACATTTACACATCTGACAACACAAGTGAAACAGTGTTAACATTCTGAACAGCCACTCTTAGAGGCCGGAATCCAAAACCTCATAGAGAGGGATGAGACATGAGAATCTTTCGAACCTGGGTCACTGTGCATGCTCTCATACAGTCTCAGAAAGATATTCTATGAATACACTTGGTCGTGCAGACAAAAAGTGATAGAAGTAGCTGTGTGAAGAATCAAAGAAAGAGAACCTGAATGAGACGAGCAAGCCTACTGCCTCCTTTCATGCCTCCACACACCTGGCTAATGTTTGCATGTGTGATGCAGTGGCCATGCTTATGGAATTACAGAAAAAATTCTGGCACTTCAAGGTGCACAAACAAGGGAAAAACAAACTGGAAAGCAAAATGTTCAGCAACATTTGCAGTGGTTGGAGCAACAGACCCTGACGAAGGCTCTTTGCCGAAACAATTAGGTCTTCACATTAAGGTTGCTCGTAACACTGCCAGTATTGCTGGACCTTTTGCTTTCCATGTCTATGGAATTGAAAATTTTGAAGAGTTCCAGGATACAGATTGAGTTTGATGACCCAACCAGCACTTTGGTTGAGGCATACTGACCCATTTACTTGGACTGGCATGACTAGTAGGTTATGTGGCCAGTGTTGCAAAACTTTATGTAAATATTGCAGAATAACAGACATTATAGTTTCACTCTGCTGGTTGTTGACTGTTGTTCATGTGTCCTCATTGAGAAGGGTCTGGGCTGGGGTTACTGGGGTTTCTTTGCAATTGCTTTAATTGTGTTTTCTGTAATGTTACATCAAAACAGACAACATACGTTATGTTGATGAACTGCCACAGAGAGTTCACACTGGCATCATAAAGTCTTTGTATTAAAACAAAGACGACTTCAACATTGACTTGTTAAACCCTAACAAGCACACAGGAATGGAGGAGTTTATCAACACTTTACACAGATGCTGTTTATACCCAAAAATCACAAAACCAAGTAGAGTAACAGCCCAGCATGCAACACTAATAGATAATATATTTACCAATGATATTGAAAGCAAAATGACAAGTGGATTACTTATAAATGATATTACTGATCATCTGCCTGTATTTCTGGTTTATGACTGCCATATTAGAAAAGAAAGGCAAACAGCAAAACTGTACTACAGGAGGGTGATTAATGAACAAACAGTACGGAGGCTTAAGGAGGAATTAATGGGGCAGGAATGGGAAGCAGTATATAGAGAGGAAGATTTAGATAAAGCATATGAACAATTTTTACATATATTTCAGGAAGTATATGACAGGACCTGCCCACGTAAGCAGTATAAAAACAAAAGGAATTACAGCAAGAAACCATGGATAAGTAAGGGATTACAGAATGCATGTAAAAAGAAGAATGCATTATACAAGGATTCATAAAAGACATCAAAAAAGACGGAAGCAAAATATAAGGCGTACAAGAACAAATTAACTGAGATCCTGAGGAGATGTAAGAAACAATATTA